TGACAGGTAGCTGCTTCGCTGAATCCGAATCTATCGAGTGTCCATGATGCCTTGCTAGGGGCCAATCTTGGTCTGTGTGTAGTGAGACGATTAATTGGTGTTAATCGCGATACTACACACTATCAGTATGATGAAGAGTCTATAGGTCACACACATAGAAGATAATTTAAGAGCCAATTTAGAAGAAGAGCGTTTTCATCTTTTTAGGCGAAATGATATTTTGGTAATTTCACAGTGCAATTAAATTTGTTGAGGTCGTAGCCTTTATTTAATTTGATATTAAAATTAAATAAGTGAGATTACGTTTAAATATATGTTCGCATATATTTAAATAAATTATCATTATTGTTAAATGTTAATATATATTAATTGATTTTAATTGAGATACTAATAAATTGAAATTAAAATATCTAAATGGGAATGTTTAGATACAAGGGGTGTTTGGGTTGGAGCCCAAGCCTATTCCATAAGGGAATAGGGCAATTAGACTTGCACTATATAAGTGTAAGTTTCTTTGTGAATAAGTGAGATATTCATTCAATTCATTTTCATTAAAAAGGAAAACACTCCAGCCCCTTGAAAACAGTCCCATGCCAGATTGCTTATTTGCTTTGGAATCAAATTCTTTTGATTTTCTTCTTGGATCTTAAACGCTAAAGAGGATCTAGCAAATCCCTTTTTAGTTCCTTGAGGTTATCTTTGTGTGGACTACTATGGTTCGATCCTATACTTGGGTCGGTAGCAAAATACGTTCAGAGACAAGTTGGAGGAGCCTCCAAACGTGCGTATGATTTCTCAAACTCCAAACTGATTTTTTGCAGATTCTTGTTTTATATATAAACTGTAAATTTGTGCCCTAATCTTGGTTCTAATGAACGATCCATATTGTAAATAATTTTTGTTTTTTCGCTGCGTAACTGGATCGTTTACTAACAAAAATTGGGCACCGCGAGAACAGGAACAGTGGTCACGACAACCTTGAGATTGTCATAAGCGCTTTACGCTTCCTCATTCCACCCAAAAGAATCTTTTTTTAATAATTGGGTTAGGGGTTGAGCTATGCACCATATCCCTTTACAAAGCAGTGGTAATACCCTGTAAGGCCCAAAAATCCCCGTAAGCTTTTCACATTTTGTGGAACTGGCCAAGAGACCATCGATTCTATCTTTTGGGGTTCTGCCTCCACCCTTTTGGCTGATATTAGATGACCCATGTATTCCAATTTTTGTTTGGCAAATGAACATTTCTTTCTATTAACCACCAAGGAGTTTTCTTGAAGGATCCGAAAGGTTTGCCGCAAGTGGGTGGTGAAATCAGGGCTGTAAATGAGTATGTCGTCAAAGAAAACGGGATGAATTTCCTTAACAGCGCCCTAACAATTGTGTTCATGAGGGCTTGGAAAGTGGACAAGACATTAGTCAAGCCAAACGACATGACCAAGAATTGGTAGTGTCCTTCCTGAGTTCAAAGGTTGTCTTGTGTATGCCTTCCTCCATAACTCTAATCTAGTAGTAACCTGATTTAAAATCCAATTTAGAGAAGGCCATAGCCTCGGCTAATTCATCTAACAATTCTTTGATGGTTGGTATGGGAAACTTGTCAGAGATAGTAAGGTTGTTTAACGCCCTATAAGCAACACAGAATCTCCAGCTTCCATCTTTCTTTTTTACCAACAACACAGACTAGCAAACGGGCTAGTGCTAGGTTGTATGATGTTGACAGTTAACATTTCCTCAACCAGTTTTTCAATCTCATTTTTTTTGGTGGTAGGGGTATTTGTAGGGTCGAATGTTTGGGGGTTTGGCTCCAGCTTGGAGCACAATGGAATGGTCATGTTGTCTCCGTGTAGGTAGCTTAGTGGATTGATAAAAAATGGTTTGGAACTCCTACATTACTTCTACCACAATTAGGTCAAATTTTTCCTCCCCTGGTGTTCCCTTATTCTTAATGGAATTAAACTCTACTAAATACCTAGTATCCTCAGACTGTAATGTCTTAATCATGGATTTCAAAGACACTCCAGTCTTAATCAATGAAGGATCCCCTCTGAGCACCATTCTCTTTCCTTCCTTGTCGAACTCCATAGTCAGTTTTCCCCAATTCGAACACACATCACCCAGGGAGCACAGCCATGTAATACCCAACACCACATTAGCACCTCCCAACTTAAACGGAAAAAAATTATGTTGTATTTCTACCCCTTGATTCATCAATTTAACTCCCCGACAAATACCTTCCCTTTTAATCCTAACTCCATTCCCTGCCATTACCCCAAAAGCTTTAGACCTATCCACCGTGATTCCTAACTCCTTCACCAACTCTTGCGAGATAAAGTTGTGGGAAGCCCCACTGTCCACCAATACAACCACATCCTCCCCTCCAATTTGCCCCCTAAGCTTCATAGTTTGGTAAGAAGTAATTCCCACTATGGATAGAGCTAAGGACTTACCTTCTTCAGGAGTCTCTACTTCAGCTTCGACTTCCGATTCTCCTCCGTCAGTCTCATCACCATCCAAGACCAATAGGACTTGTAACGACTTGCTCTTGCACCGATGGTTTGGGCCAAATTTTTTGTCACATTAGAAGCACATAACTCTCTCCCTTTTACATTGCAGATCAGCCTCTGTTAGTCGTCGGAATCCATCCCCCCTGGATGGTGTCATTGTCCCTTCCATCGGTTTTCCTCCTCTTTCCTAGTTTGGACTTTGGTTGCCCAGATTTTGCCCCACTTCGTTGCCCTTCGTTGTTGAATTCCACCAATTTGGGCGAGTGAGTTCTGGGTTGGATAAGACCTAGGTATAGGACTCGGGTCGACCTATTTGGGCCTTAGATAACCTAGGCTTCATTTTATCTAAAGCCCAATTTCTCTCTTTAGTGCGGTAGGCTTGGTTTATTAAATCAAAAAGGTTTTTGGGCTTACTCAATCTCACTTCGGCCCGCAGATCTTCCTTCAGCCCATTAACAAATATACCCATGAGGAGGTCTTCTCCTACCTCGCGTAAGGGTGTTGATAATTCTTCAAATTGCTCTCTATACTTAGTCACCGTAGTCTGTTATAGAGCCACCAAGGCTTCGTAGGCGAACCCCTTATACGACAGCCAAAAGCGCTCAACTAACGTCGACTTGAAGGCATTCCAAGATAAGATCGGCAATCATGTCTCGACCCACTGGTACCAATTCAGAGCAAGCCCTTCCATGACACAGCGGCGACATCCACTTTCTCCTCCTCCTCCTCCTCAAAATGGTTCATTTGGAAATACCGCTCGACCCGAAATGTCCACCTACTTGGATCTTCCCTGTTGAAAACCAGTAATTCCAACTTCTTCACCTTCTTGTCTTCCTTGCTATTTTCAATTACCTTAAACCCCTCTCGACTACTGTTGCCTTCCTCTTTGTTTGACATGTTCCTTGTATAGGTTCTGTCCCTCTCTCGGTTTCTAGTTTCTTCTTTCTCATCCTTCAACCTCATCCACTCTCTGAGTTCCAAGAGATACTCTTTGACACTTCCTAAGTCCTCCCTCATCAACACCATTTCCTTCTCCACGTTTCGCATCTCTTTTTCCAACCCATCCACTATATTTTCCATTTTAGATTTAACCATACCCCAGCCTGGCTCTGATACCAATTTGATGGGAATCAACCAAAAACAACCCAACAAAACAATCCAATAATCCCCACACAAACAAGAGTATCCAGAATTGACTGAATGTATTTTGATATATTGCTGAACCAAACACAATTGACAAGTATTTCAGATAGATGATAATAAAGAAAACAATGATATAAAAGATGATAAAGGAAACAACAAAACCCAGGCTACTAGCAATTTGAGGAGCTAGCGACCTCCCAAGAATTTCCAAATTTACTGATGATTTTTACATGGTTTTTCCCCTCCTATATACTAGAATGAAGTCACACTCTAAATGCCTCTTTCTTTTAGAGTCCACGTGGTAGATTCTTTTTTAACTAATTCCCCACTCAATTCCCCTTTTTGCCCCTCCCCTTCTTCTTGTTGTAAATCTGGGTAATCTGGGTTAGAGGAGGCTTATCACACCACCATAAGACTCATTGGCATCTCTTATTCAAAAACCCTAATAGTGTAAACCAAGTTTGCTCCTTGTTCACCACCAAATCAAAAAGTGTATTCTAAGTAGCAAACGAAATATAAACTTTGAGTAGGAAATTGCTATTTTAAACTTTTTGGGTGAGAAAGTGTTATTAAGGCAAACCTTGGGTGGGAAAAAGTTGTTTACTCTTAAAATTATGAGGGAAAAACAAAGAATCTCATAGACAATAAAGAATAAGATTAGTGAAATCCGATGGGAAGTCCATAGAATATACCAAGCAATAAGCACAAAATTTTACTTTTTGCCAATAATATCTACTTGTACAACAGATAACATTGGATGCTACTTCCAAGTCTATGAAGCTATTTACATTTCATTTTTAATCTGAAAACTCCCAAGCAATGAATATTTGCGTCTATACAAGTCATTTTGCCGAAGAAGCAGTTTCTCCACAAGATTGGAACTCTTAAGAAGCCTAAGCTTTTCAAAATCAATGCTACCCGGTCCAAGGTTTTAATACAGGATCAGTAATCAGGTCTGGTCACCATTGTTTACAAAGGCCAGTTCACATACCAGCGCAAGATGATCACTGCCCCAACTCTGAAAAGTAAGATAAAAACTTTAAAAACAGATGCAAAGACGTCCCAAACTGGAAAATAGATTGTTCATAGCATAGCTTATTACATCCATGTGCGTGAATATTACCGGAAACAAAGAACAACCAGTCTACCATTCTCCAGATAAAGATTGTCACACTAGAAATAATTTGATGCCATTTAAACAATATAAAAAGTAAAAAATTGCTGAAATGTATTGCATAAATGGTAATGGTACTGTTGGTACTTTAATATTTGAAGATAGGCAAAGATATTCCCAAATAACATTCATCAGCTTCCACAAGAAAATGTATAACATCCGGACGTCTGCAAGTTAAAAAACATTTGAATAGGTAATTTCAACCCTTAGAGAAACCATGTTTGGGATTCTGCTTATACTTCTTGATTTTAAAATACTAAAACAAAGGCTGCATCATATGCTCTGAGTTAGTCAACTACAGAATCTTTAGATAACCCATATTTGAGACATTTATGCTTATATTTCACAGTTCTAAAATAATAAGAAGCCTGCATGCTCTGCTTTAGTCAACTACAAAATCAGTCAAAAAGTCAACTGTTTTTTGTAACTCTTGGAGTTAAGACAACTCTTCTACCATCAACCTGTCTCTTCTGAACTGCTAACCTCCTCTATTTTTCCCAAATCACATTTTAACTTCTGAAAAAAAATTATTTCCTGCAAAAACTGGTTTCAGTTGCAATTAACAAATTGAATGATTATTTTATTTTATTTTTTCAGTTTAGTTTATTGTTTACGTTGTTGTATAACTTTTCAATATTATTTATGTGATTTATGGATTTCAGAATCATTTGTAGAAGAGATATGAGTACTCATTGTTTGGTGTATCTAAGTGGATTGTTTATAATGCGATGCTGTTGTTTGATCTTTATATGTATAGAACATGAAAGTCAATAGAAGTTAAGATTAGAGAAATATTATGAGAATGAGATGTTGGATCATGAGTGATAATAAATGTAGCAAATATCCTTTTTCTAACTTGAATTAGTTCAATTTCATTGGATTTCCAAAAGAAAATCTAATAACCAATCCGATTAAAATTATACCCAACCCAATCTTATACACTAAACCAAAACTAATCAAAATTAGATTAGTTTGGGTTGGATTGATCAATTTGATTGAACTGGATTAAAATGTTTGAACACACCGAATTACCATTTATTCTCTTATTTGAGGCACATATAATGTAACGAATTAACATTAAAAGTTACAAACTATATAAGTACCTCACATGGGAGTCCTGCACTTCCTTTCAAAATGTCAATGGGTAAGGTTTCAAGAACCCTTACAGGAAGAAGTTCCTCTGTATGCCTGTGTCAAAAGGGCAATCAGTAAGAATGCAGGCTCAAATATAAATCTACTATTGTAGTTAAAAAAATGTAACTGAACTACCATATATAGTCAACAGTTCCCATAAACTTGCTGTGGTATGATGTAGCCAATGGTTCTCCATTATTGTCTCTTGTCTTACGACTTCCCTGATTGCAGAACCCCAAAAGAAGTTCAAAGTCTAAAGATTGCAAGTCCATAGAAGGATAAGAAAATTCATGATAAACAAAATGGAGATTCATAGACACATAAGATATCCAGAATAAACAGCTTACGGGAATCCCAAAATATGCACTGTGGAGCTTTAATTGGTGCTGAAGTTGTGTGACTTGCTTACTGCCAGTTGCAAGTCTTAGTTCTTCATCACTCCATCCATATATCAACGGTCTTGAGATAGACATCCAACCACTACACCAGACATCGAGTTGAAATACCACATAAATGTCCTAAATTTCACACTGTCTATGGTGTAATTGAATGTCTAACATCTGCTCTTAGAGAACACATTAAGGCCACAAAGAAACAAAATTTTTTATTATAATCAATACAATTCATTTAGGATAGAAAAGAAAGAATGAAACAAAATTGTTGCTTATAATCGTCCTATTCACAGTTTGATTCAGCAATTGGAAGCTTCTTTTTCTTAATAATCACTCAGAAATTACCTAAATTTTTAACAAAGGAATCAATTTCTTTCTCTACAAACCTTAAAATAAACCTTAAAGATCAATAAAAAAATAAATTACAGTCCTTTTGAAGCAACAGCAACTTCAAAGTTGACAATTAAGTAGATCTTTATGCATGTATGTATAGTTTCAAGGCCAAGACTTTCTGAGATATTGAAAAAATACCGGTTTCTACACCCATTCTGAAACTTAAAGTCTCTGCAGTTTGAAGAAAACTCAACCTGCCTGGACATATATCTACGATCATGTTGTTGAACATCCAACTGTAAAAAGTTGCAACAAAAATACATATATCAACTATTAGAAACCCAAATAGAAATATGTCAAGTTTTATTCGCAGAAGTAACCATCAGTTTGACATTTCAAAAGCATGGAAACTCACCTTAGAGGAAGCCAGAAACTGATAAATTGCACTCTAACCACGAGAAGAAAATAAAAATGAGATAATAAAGTCACAGAAATTCTAAAGCACACTGCACATGTAATATGAAGCTGATCAACTAAGAAGTACAAATCTCACCTGTGGACTACTGTTTAAGTCCCCAGCAAGTAGAACAGGAATCTTACTCCACTCTTGTGAAAGCTTGTAAGCCTTCTCAAGATACAGCCGAACCTACACAATTGTATTTTAAGTAAGAACATCAGCGGGGGCAAATTCATTCCACTAAAGAGGGTTGTCAGTTTCAGATGGGAAACTAAGCAGTTGACTATTTAGCTCCAAGGCAGGGAATACCTTATGGAAAACAAAAAAATTAAATCATTTCTTAGGCACTATTTCCATCAAAAGAATTACTATAATACTCTTCTTACTATAATTCCAGTCCAAACATGCAGTTTTATTATACATGAATTTCTTTTTCTGGATCAAATATTTTATTTAAAAAGTGAAGCCTTCAAAGAATCCAACCTTTTCTTTCTTCCTAGTCAAGTCATATTAATTGCATGGTGCCTCAAAAGAGATCACGGTCATGCTATAAGAACATTTCTAGTCCTTAAAAAGATCAGCACAAGGGAATACCTGGCCTAGTTTGATGTCTCCACGGTTCGGATTAAAGAGTACATGTGTATTTCCAACCACTAAGCTTTGACTTCGGGACAGTGTTGTCCTATAAATTTGCATGCATGTCAATTCTTGAACTAGTAATGTAATTAAAACAAAGTTCATCCATTGTCATCATCCAAAACACATATCGACACAACGATATACTAAAAGAGCAGATTTAAACTTACACTGATGTTTGCTCACATATTTCAGGCTCTGGTAAATTTTGTTTCATCTGAATAATTAGGAAAGAGAAAAATATAATACATGAAACAGTGAAGACTAATCTATCATTAAATATGATTTCTCACAATAATAGATTTAAAAATAAAATATTTAGGACTGAAATGAATAACAATATCGGCAACAAACACTTTAGGAGTACTTTTCTCTACCAATACAGAAAGTGATAAATGCTAGCGCAAATTCACTTTCACATACTTTTCTCTACCATTTAAAATTTTGCTTAGCCACAGTAAGATGACATCTTAATGAAAACTTTGAGTAGGTTCATATACCCAAAAGAAAAGCACCAAAAAACGAAATAGAAAAAGACTTACATGATACCAAATCAGAACCCTACATACCTTTAAAACACAAAATTGAGCAACATTGTGACGGAGGCCAAACTTCTGGAACTCAACATTTTCTTGATGTAAAAGGGTAAATCTGTGTTCAAAATTGACTTGCTGAGAGTTGGATATAAACAAAAAGAGAGAAAAATTCAACACCTAAAAACATCCATAGACAACATATTCATCAGCGAGGAGAACATTGTGAAATAGTGTTAGGCATACTCTCATCTTCCCCCCCAAAAAGAAGGAATAAAGAGGAAACAGGGATCCGAAGCCCACCCAGAATTTTTGTTACATGTACCAAATCTCTTTTACTTTAAGTAACGAGTCAAAGTAGCATTTAAGAAAATGATAAGATAAATTTATACTCCTCCAAACATAGCCTAGCAAAGGCATATCTAAGCGGTCTAGCTAAATATCAAGAAACAAGAAGTAAAACCACCTCCAGCACAAACTACGATGAATGCAGATGTGAAAGTCAAACTATATCAATAAATTCATTCGCCTTGATGGCAACATAATAAGAGCAGGGGCTTAGGAACCTCACAGTTTGTCTTTCCAGAATATAGCACACCCATCACGTGCATCACCGGTACGAGCCTGGAGCAAATCAAAATCACCAGTCCAAGGTAATCAAAACCAATTAATGTCATACTTGTTGGACTGCAAGTACTTCCATAGATGCATATCATATTCATTATACCTTATAAACACCCTTGAAGCCATCTTTCCGAAGAAGATAATCTAGATCATCAAAACGGTCAACCTCCTGCAGCCATGAGCAAAATACTATCAATTATCATAAATTGCAACTCAATTAACAATCATTTGCAACATCCGACTCCATCTAAAACTTCCTTCTAGAACTACAATCTGTGACATCAGTTTGTGAATTATGTTATACTCTAAACACACATGTTAAGGAACAAATCTCATTGCATTTGATGCATCGCATCATACGAATACTTTCAAGACTACGAATTATTCAAATATATAGGAAATAATTTTGAGTCACGAAAGAATTGAAACCTGCCTGAAAACACAATATGCTTGCATTGTAACGTTTAATCTCTTCACGTATGAGCCTTTTCCGCCTCTCCCACTCCAAGAATTCGGGCGGCACATCCATATACAAGTCTGGATGCTTCAATGCATTTTCAACTCCAAGTATATTATATGAAACTACCACAAATTTATCTGTACAAAAAACACATATATTTATTAAGAAAAAAGAAGAAGCAAATAACATATGCCACCAGAATTAAAATGCTATGTCACAAACCTTCACTAAATTCATGCGAAAATTCTTAATTTCCATAAAATTTGTGGGAAAGGTTTAAAACTTATACCTTTAAAATTAGAAAAATCTCGGGAAGAGAAGGTCCACTGGCGGTGGCATTCATCAGTAGCACTCGACTTCCTCCTCTTCCGCGTTTTATTTCGCTTTCGAGAAGAACGAATCGGTTCAAACCGATTAGAAGTGGGCGGGTTTCGAGACGGGTCGGGTTTCAGGGTAAATGTTGTTTGGGTTTCGGTCTCTGAGATCGTTAAGGTTTCTGAGACCGTTAATCTTTGCCTCTTGGCGTGTTTATTTCCTCTGTCAAATTGTTTTGACTTTAGAGAATGCTTCCGTTTGGTGGCACGTGAGTTCTCCGCTGCCGGCGGCTCTTCGCGGTTGCTTGACTTCATCTAGCCGGGTAGTTCGAGTGATGGCGCGTTGCTTGTTATTAGTACCTTTACTTGGGGTTCTTCTGAGTGTAATATACAGCCTGTTTGGTAAAAGATATTACGTTATTCTCCACCAGGTTTACTGCAGTCCCGAATACGGATTTTCCTTGATTTATTATCAGGTCTTTAATTTTTTTAATTTTATTTTAAGAAATGTTGGATAAATTAAAAAAAAAATAAAACAATTCATTAATTTCAGAATTTCTTGCTTTCCTTGCTGTGTGTAGAAGCATTTAATATAATTCTGCATTCATTCTATTTTGACTCATTATATTAAAGGCAAAGATTTCTGTACAAAAAATTTCTAAATAAAGTGTTCTTGGCCACACCAAAGAGACAAATTGCTGGTAAATTGAGTTAAGATGACCACCCATTTCATCGTCACCATCACCATTCATCCTCCTTTCAAAGCTACCAACTCTCCACAAGCAATAACTAACCCATGTTACTCTCATAATAACACCATTCATCCACCTAACACTTTCAATTCTTCTATATCATTCACATTGTCTGAATCATTCCAGAAATTTTCCCATAAACCAAACAACAAATATGACACATCAATTGCAATTATGTCTTCTTTTCTTCGTTTTCACTTCTTTAACACATGCAAAATCCGTCATTGAGCCATGTAACACTTCAGATTCTTGCCCTTCTCTTCTCTCTTATCTCTTACCTTATGACTCCAAGCTATCAGAAATCGCCTACCGTTTCCAAGTAAATGTTTCCGATATTTTAGCCGCAAACTCCATCGACCCGGTTGCAGTTCCCTCCCTCGCAAACCAAATTCTTCCGGCCAGGTCTCTCGTCAAAGTTCCCATTTCATGCCCTTGTGTTGATGGCATCAGACGCTCCGTATCAACCGCTTACACTGTCCAGGCGGCGGACACCGTTAATTCTATATCGGATGGATTCGGAGGGCTTGTGAGTGGTGAACAAGTTAGGAGTTTCAATGGGATTAATGCCACGAATCCGCTGACAAGTGGGGAGAGCTTGGCGATTCTTTTGCCATGCATTTGCTTTAACAACAGTAATGATAGAGTCGCCGCCGTGTATCTGTCGTATGTGGTGCGGAGAGGGGAGAGTTTGGGTGGCATTGGCCAGACTTTCGGGACTACAGTGGCGGAACTGGAGGCTGTTAATGGACTTGGCCAACCTGGAGTTGATCCTGGAGACATTCTGGCAGTTCCAATTCCAGGTTAGTGTAGAATACAACGGATTAGCATGTAAATTTACAAGGAATTTATATAATATTTTCTAAGAATTTTTAGATGTGGACTCCTACGTTTTAAAGAACATATATTATTAACTGATGTAATTAACACTAAAAAAATAATTTTTTTATAGTTTTCAATACGAAAAATTATCTGATTATTATATATTTTTTTTTGGATGGTTGCAAACAAAATAATGAGATTTTTTTTTTTTTTTTTTTTAGTGATTGGGGTTGTCAGAATAGTCTAATCTCCCGAAATCTTAAAATTAAAAGTCGGATAAACTCTCAAGTGATCCCACTAGTAGCAATTGAGGAAAATCAAATTTAGATTTTTTTAATAATATATCTAAGAATCCTTATCGTATCTAACCATAAGGGACAGTTAAATAATGAGACTGTTATTATCATATTTAGTGGTCCAGAGGACCATAGCTGCCACAATATATAACGTTATTTGGGTTGTCAATGTCAACTATGAATGTGAGAAGTACTTGATACCCACTTTTCCTCCCACCTAGTTTTATACGTGGCGGTACCTTATCTTTAACATTCATTCAATATATTTCTTACAATTTATTTTATGAAAAATACAGAGTTATCATCAACCATTCTTTTGCTTGTCATATGCAAGGTTGCTGTGATCAATTCTCGGATAATGTTAGGATATATAAATCTCAGTAGTGCATGGTTCATATAATAGACCCAATATCCAGAAATTCAGTCATATTTTCTCATGTTAAAAATTTTAGTCTTTATTGAGGTCAATATGAAAAATACAGAGGTCAAAAGGTTTGAAAATTTTCGTAAATGTTTATGGATGCAGCATGTTCATCAGCAAATCTAAACTGGTACAACGAGAGTCTTATTGTTCCTAACGGCTCCTATGCACTCACTGCCGCCAACTGCATCAAATGCACTTGTGGACCAACCGATCTCAAGTAAGTCTGAACGTTCTTCTAACGATATAAATATATATTCTTCATAAATATATGCTTTAACTCTAGTATTTTATAATATGATGGATTCGATGATCAGTTTGCAATGTGCACCTTCTGGTATAGTACCCTCCTGCTCTCATTTACAGTGTCAAGGGTCTGATCTCTTCATCGGCAACGCTTATGTCAATCATACACCCATTGGATGCAATATCACTGCCTGTGTTTATCGTGGCCATAATGGTGGCAAAATTTTCCGAAGGTATAGCAGAATTTTGTATAATGTAGTAGCCTTTAACTATAATTAAGTGGAGCTTATATATGTTAATTATTTGTTTGCAGTTTATCAAATTCTTCAAATGTACAATGCCCCGGTAAGATTGTTGCCTTTTCACGAATCTGAGAAAATTTTCTGGTATTAACAATTAATAAATGCTCCCCTCATAATATTTTTCTACAGTTAACCAAAGTAATAAAGCAGTGCCACCAAGGGCGTCTCCATCATCTAATCCGATAGTTCCCTTTGTAATATTATCCCCGTCTCCATCACCATCACCATCTCCATCTGCTTCTTCTAATCCAACTATGGGAATGAACAACACAAACCCTCGAAGCAAACAAACTTCCAACACTTCTACCCAGGGAAGCAGATTGCCTGGTCAGGCTAGATTATTTTACATTTTGTTGCCATTAGAATTGGCCCTGTGTTTTATATATATCTCATGATTTTTGTATTAGTTCCTTGTTGAGCAATGATACGAAATTAAGGGGATCTTGGAGGCATTGTTACTACTTGATCATATAGGCCTGATTTAGTTTTGTTTTAAAGGAATACCAGCACGGGAAACTAAATAAAGGTTGCGACTGAATAAGATGTGTTCTTCGATGAGCTTAATTGTGTCATTAATACTTTGTATAACAACGCAAATTGACATTATTATGACATGATGTTTGCATCGAAAAAGGACAAAATTTTAGTATTGCAGATATCATAAACATGTTTCTCTATCGGTATATATAATTTTTAAAAACTCCCCATATTAAAATTTGGGGAAGTTAAAAATAGGAAAATAGAATAGAAAAATATCTAAAAGATGGCTTAATTGAGTAGAAACCCTAACTGATCAAACCCTAAATCATTCCCCTTTGTTCAAGAAAATCTTTAGTCTATTGATATATATTTTGAGTGACTCATGGGAGAGCGGAACAAGGGTCAAATGATAACAGATTTCATCCTTCATTTTACAAGATTTGATTTAGACCCACTATCATCAAATGTTTGATAAGACCTCTCAGCTAATTAGAGACCTCGTTCGTTCCCATGGAATATCAGTTTGTCTCGTACGTTTCGTCTAATTAATAAACTTATCCATTGATAATTTAACACCATTATCTCTCTCTGTTAAGATGTATTAATCGCTTTGATTAAAACATTATTTGAAAAGCTTGCAATTAATATGAAGATCGATCCATGAGACAAAAAAATATCAGCCAGAAGCATATGGATGACGATGAAACTTGTAAGTAATATATCTGTTGACAAGTAAATTATGAGTCAATTTTTTGTAACTTGGCTCAAAACTCAGAAGTTGTCCATGTCTACTCCATATTCCACATTGACATTTTTACAACTTAAAAAAATATGGATATATTTATCATCAGCTCCATTTCAACATCATTATACCAAGTAATTATCTTCTGCCAAACTTCAAATATATATATATATATATATATAAAACTGGGATCGTCCGAACCAACTTATGTTAAATCTTGAGAAGATTAAATACACAGATTTGATTATTATTTTTATCTAGTTTAATCAACATCTATATTATTATCTCGAGAAACTTTCTATCATATATATTGACATAACATAACATATCATGATTGATTGAATATATGACTGGTAGTAGAAAATTATCTTCTATTATAGATATTCTCTGTTGGGAGATAATCCTCTCAAAGAAAACCGTATATATCCATCATCAATAATTATTGTTCTCTTGATAATAATTTTTTTTCTTTTGTTGTTATTGAACACATTGCATTATGGTAAAGAGTAAGATTACATACTTACCAATTCTATAAACTGACTCTCCATCTCGGTTGATGTGGTCGGCATGGAGATTCTCCACGTTACACTCCATGTCAATCGGGATGGAGAGTCGGTCTATAGAATCGATAATTATAGTATTTTCCATAAGTAAATCACAACTACACTATACATGTATAGATAGTTGCATCCTGGTATATATAAAAGCATATTAAGTTGTCAAGACTTCTCAGTCAAATTGCATGCATATATACATACTCTACTTTTTTGGTTGACTATATAATCAAATTATTGCTTTTCATTCAAAATACTATGATAAACAGTGATCAAATCAACCTATTTTATCAGTGCTTGTGGCTACTAGCTTTCTAAATTTTGTAAAATTCAACAAATAATTTGTTTGTTTTTAGTTGCACAAGAGATCAAATTTGCCTTTACAAATTATTCTTGACCGCCCAACCCAACTCTCAGAAAAATAATAATAAATAAAAATAATTTTCTATTTGAACAAACAATAAGACATCATCTAAAGCTGCAATTGAAGCGAAGCTTTATGTATATATGCGGCGACTCCAATGAACATGAACTTTATGTTTTCTTTTCGTTTCGGGACACTCGTTTGAGGCCACAATCTATGGCTCAAATTAATTTGACATCGATATAAGAACTAACTCAAACTTGATGGTTGTATTTTTCTGCTGAAAATTAAAGGAAATTGTAAATTTTTGGTGGTTAAAACTCATGCACAGGAAACCTGATTTCTGGTGCTCATTGCCTATTGAAAAGCAGAGGCCAGTGTGTCTACTTCTGTGAATGGCTTAAATTTTTCTTGAAACCTGAAAGAAAGGTAACAAATTAATGGAAATGGCACAGTAATAAACGATCCTGAATAAGTCAAAATTTATATTAAAGTTCTGATGCAGGAAGTTGGTGAAATATCAACTGGAGGAGAATCGTTGGGCGGAGAGACTCAGTGTTTGTACCACAAGAGGGGTTTGAAAACAACCCACAGGGGACCACAAAACAAGAGTTATAAAAGTTGAAATAGGAATAATTGAGATATGGAGACAAGAAAACAAAAGGTTCTTATTCAAGAATTTGTATTGAGAGCTTGCCATACTTTGTGTTGGTCCCATGAGGAATCCCCAGTGAAGACAGGCAACCAATCAGGGCTCATAGATTAGGATGGATTTCAAAAGTTTAGCCAATGAACACTGAGATAAGACCAATTTCTGGGTCCCAAATTGATGTGCTACGGAATTGATGAGGATACGTAATTAGTGCACAGTAAAAGCGTCATTATGGGTCACTATGGCTTACTACGTTACACTCTCAACTCTCTCAACTCTCAACACAATAATTGAATCACAAGAGTCTCAAAATAAATACTTTCAAGGCACTCCAATCTGACTTGTAATAGCCAACTTCACAGGCCTTTTTGAGTTTGTTGATTTCATCTTTCAAACTGAATATATTCAGTCTTTGCGCTATGATCACTGAAAAGAAAGCCGCAAATGCTATGGGAGGAAAGACGGCGAGAGCCTGCGATGGCTGTTTGCACAAGCGGGCGCGTTGGTATTGCGCCGCGGATGATGCGTTTCTTTGCCAAGCTTGTGATGCATCTGTCCACTCGGCGAACCAGCTCGCGAGTAGACACGAAAGGGTTCGACTTGAAGTTGCGTCAGCGAAGCTGAATGGAGCTTCGAACGATAAAGATGTAGCTCCGGTATGGCACCAGGGGTTCACCAGAAAGGCCAGGACCCCCAGGCCTAATAAGAACTTGTTGATGCGACAAGCTAAGGAAAAAGAGAAAGTTTCAAATTTTAATAATGATCCTCTTGTTCCTGAGATTGGTAGTGAAGACGGGTCGCTAGAGGAGAATTCATCAGAAGAACAGCTGCTGTATCGGGTGCCGGTATTCGATCGGTTTGATTCGGATTTATGCTGTGATATGGATGGAAGTGAAGGAACCGAAACCGCTATGGTAAAGGAAGAAGATCAAAACATATTTGTTGATGGCTATGGACAAGAAGGAGCTTCTGATTTGGATGATTTACATGGGTTCTTGCAATCGGATATGGATCTCGCTGAGTTTGCAGCTGATGTTGAGAGCCTACTAGCTAGTGGGCTTGATGAAGATTGCAAAGAAGAAACTGATTATCATGCCAATGTTTTTTTCGGAGACAAAACAGTGAAGGTTAAAGATGAAGAAGAAGTGGAATTAGGTCTTACCGCTTGCCATTTTGATCCCGGTTTTAACATAACAAGAGAAGGAACAGACTGGAACTTCGACTATGGATCATCACTAGTACCCGAGGGAGAAGGAGAGGAGAAAGTGGCGCCTCTAGCCGATACAGCAATGAACAACGAATGCAAAGTTGAGATGAAGAGAAACGTATCTTTGAGGCTAAATTATGAAGCTGTCATCAATGCGTGGGCAAGCCAAGGTTGTCCATGGACAACAGGAACCCGACCGGAGGTTAATCCCGAAGACGGTTGGCCCGACTGCATGGTATATACTCTCTCGATCATCGATCGAACTATTTTTCAGCGTTCTTTTAAATTTAAAAAAAAAAATTAATTATTTGGTGTATGCAATTATATTATAGGGCAATTGTTCTAAAGACCATGTTCATCACTTCTATGGCGGAGCACTGCAGTGTCACGCAGGCGGTGATGGCGGACGAGAAGCGAGAGTATCGAGGTATAGAGAGAAGCGTAGGACGAGATTGTTTTCGAAGAAGATAAGGTACGAAGTCAGGAAGCTGAACGCGGAGAAGAGGCCTAGAATGAAAGGGAGGTTCGTTAAGAGGACTAATAGTACTTCATTTATAGGGACTGCAGCTGCTCTTCGTCCTTACATCAAGAAATAAATGGTAATGGCCAAACTGAGAGATTGCTTGTCTCTAGGTCAGGGTTGGTGTTGATTGCTATTAATGGCTAGTTTTACTATAAAAGGAAGCTGAATAGGTAGATAAATAAATAACTGTTGGGAGTACATGCACATATGTGTATATCTAGATCTCTAACAGGAAGAAGAAGAACCCGTTGTAAAAAGCTGAAGCACTGAGGGTTAGTGCGTTGCTTAATTAACAAGCTGTATGAACAAGAAGTTGTTAATTTGTTGTTAACAAAGATCTTGCTAATTTTCATTAATTAGCCATTATCTTATATATATTCTTAAATCTTCTGGCATGAGTATGAAAATTTTGCGCATTTACTAGTATAAGGAACTGAAGAAATGAAGTGAAATATATTGTGTTTCTAGCTTTAATTTCTTGCAGCATCAAGCTTCATCATCTGAGATCAGGGGCGTGGGCAGGATTTTTAGTGAATGAGATCAAATATTAACTATAAACCGAAGTCTCAAATATTATAACTTAGGTTTTTTAAACAATTTCTACTAACTTAATAAAATTCAATTCAAACCAGGAAAACTCATCAAATCGAACTCTAAGTATCAAACAATTAACAATATATCAAAATTAAACCAAATCTCAAAATCTCTACAAGTTCATCATTCTTAAACTCATTTAAAATTAATTCAATAACTAACCAAAATTTATCAAACCCAACTTAAAACAATAACTGATTAACTCATATCTGAACAAACAAAAATAAATTAAAACTATATCAAAATCTATAAATTTAATCTTAAATGTAAACTCATTTATTAACTAACAAAAACTCATAACTAATGATTTTTATAATAAGAAAATTGTAAGAAATGATTTTAAAAAAAAAAAAAAAAAAAAAAGAGTATCATTTTACCTTGTAAACTCCAAAGGAGTAACTTTTTGAGTAATCCAACTAAAAGAAGAAGAAAGTATGAGAGAAATGAAGAAGGGAAAAAGGTGAAAAAATTTTAATTAATATGAAGCTTTTTTTTTTTTTTTTTTTTTCAAAGTTTGAATGAGTTCAATTGAGCACATATTTTAATACCAGTTATGTCTTTGGTGACATATATATTATATACACAAAATCTAGAGATCCATAAATGAATTCAATAAAAATGAAAGGCAGACCAGACTAGACGATCAATCGAAGTTTTCAGTTATGAAATCAAAAGCATTTAAACAATGTAAAAGAAATTATTGTGATTGGCACAGGTACCAATCTTGATTATTATGTAATCTTAGACTCGATGGGGAGGCATGCAGTACAAAAAAATGTGTGTTTCAATCGGAATACGATGCTTCTTCTAAAGCAATTCATGTTGCAATCCTTTAATCGTCAGTTTGGTACACTACATTAAATCACAGTATCTGGAATTAATAGTGGTACTTGATGACTGCTCTTTCGAACATGGGAATTAATACAAGAAGATGATGATATTTGTTAGTGCGCACGTTGGCATCGGAGCAAGTGGTTTTTTCCAACGAAATAGATGTCATCGGAAAATAACAAATTTCTGTATGTATATGTTGGTGACTGCAGAAGATAATTAATCATCTAAGTTCATGAAATATAACACAAAGGGTGTGTATGACGAAGCTTGACAAGAAATTCACAGCAAAAACTCCTCTCAGTTACTGGAATTATAAGAATTAAGATAATATGATCTTTCAATCAGTGATGGGCTGGTTTTGCTCATCACAAGAACTTGCAAGTGTAACTGCATACTAAGAAAAATGTGCACTGGAGGGTAGAAAATGTAGCTAGGAACTCCAAAATCATTCGCAACTTCAATCATGTCCGCACAGAACATATCGAGAACGAACCCGGCGAGTCGAGGTGAGTCACCAGAGGCTGACTCGGTCTGAATTAGCTTAGTGACTGCTTCTTTGACGAGGGGTTAATGGCTTTTGACGAACGAATCCATGAAGCTTATACGAGAAGATGATTTTGAAGGGGAAAGATTGACTTCTGGGAGTTGAATGATTTTGAAGTTCGGGTTGAGTGGAGAGAGAGAGAGTGAATGAAGGTAGACGGGAACTTTGGTGTCGAAGGGGAGCTGCATGACGAAGACGGTGATGGAGAGGCGGTGGTCGCAGTGGACCAGGAGCTTTGCCATCTCCACCATCGTTACAACGTGGCTATTTTAATTCATATTTATCTATTGAAATTTAATTATTTATATTTTACAGCCATGAACGATTCCTGGATAATGAAACTTAGGTAGTGTTTGTTTTTTTCTTTATCCAAAAGTTGAATGAAACTAATTGTTGAATACATATGAATGTATAAATTTTATCTGATAAATTTTTTTTTTTTCATTGTTTGATTATAAGTGTTAAATTGTTTGTTTTTATCATGGTTGTTAGTATCCTACGATACCCGATACGTATCATACGATACGATTCGATACAGGTCGCCAATGATATGTATCAGAGAGTATATCCTAAACCATTCGATAGATTGATATGTATCCTACGATACAATACGTATCCGTTCGTATCCTTAAAAATATCGATACGATTTTATTAATTTGGGCCAAAGGTCAAAAAAAAAATTCGGGTCGAAACCGGGTTACCCAACCCGATTCACTAAAACTTGTCCAAATTTACCTATTTTACATGGAGAAAGTGAAGAGGAATATGTATTGCCCATTTTACATGATAATAATAATATAAGTGGAGATATAGATATTGACATTAATCTTGGAATTTTGTGATTAATTTTGATTATATAATACCATAATTTAAAGTCAATAATACCACAAAATTCTTTTATTAATCCTGGGGATTATATTAATTTTTTTGAAAAAGGCGTATCTTACGATACGATACGATACGATACGCGATACACGATTAAAAAAATTAGGTTTTCGATACACGATACGATACACGATTTGATAACCATGGTTTTTATGGGTGTTTTGGCACGTATATCATGGTTATTAGTATCCTACGATACACGATACGTATCTTACGATACGATTCAATATGAGTTGCCAACGATACGTATCAAAGAGTGTATCATAAACCTTTTGATGCATTGATATGTATCCTGTGATACGATACGTATCCATTCGTATCCTTAAAAATACTGATACAAATCGATACGAATTTATTAATTTGGACCAAAGGCTAAAAAAAAAATCGGGTTGGATCCGGGTCACCCAACCCGGTTTACTAAAACCTGCTCAAATTTACCCATTTTGTATGGAGAAAGTGAAGAGGAACATGTGTTGCCCATTTTGCATAATAATAATAATACATGTGCAGATATAGATATTGACATTGATCTTGGAAATAATATTAATGATTGAGAGAAAATGATATAGATTCTTAATTTTGTGATTAATTTTGATTATGTAATACCATAATTTAAAGCTAATAATACCACAAAATTCTTTAATTAATCTTTGGAATGATATTAATTTATATTTTATTTTTTTATTTTTTTGAAAAAGGCGTATCCTACGATACGATATGATATGATACGAGATACACGATTCAAAAAATTAGATTTTCGATGCACGATACAATATGCGATTTGACAACCATGACGTATATCCTTATGAAGTTAATTTTATTTTTTTAAACTATATTATTATAAATTATGAAAATCAAAATAAAATAAATCATATAAAAATTAATGATAACTATGTTATTACATTGTGTTTATATAGTAATTAAAATTCTATTATAACGAAAAATTAAAAATAATTAAATTAATTAGATCCTAGAAAGAGTTAATTTACAATTTGGTCTGGTATTGTTGTATGAATATTTGATCAATTATTTGAAGTAAGCTGATTGAATTTGATGGTTGATTTTGATCCGTGTAGCTATGATAAATAAAGAAGACAAAAATATATAATATAAAAGTTTTGATAAAAATGAAATTATATAAATTTGATAGGGATAAAACCTTAAAATTTCATGCAAAATTTCACAGACTAAAGGATGGTCGATCTCAACTGAATGCAACGTAGCTATTATTTGTCATTCAAATTTCTAAATCTGCAGAGAAGACGCCAGCGCATGTTCTGAATTTGTCTTTTCGAACCAGATTGAAGGATGAAGAAGACAACTCAGAGTGGAAAAATTAAGTCACTCCACAGGCCTTGCCGGGTCTATGTCTCAATCCGTTCATCAATTTAATTTCATTTGTTTTTTTCTTTTACTAATAATAATAATTATTATTATGTTCTCAAATTATTGCTGTAAATAAATATCTTCTTTATTTTTTAATTTTTTTTACCAAAAATAATAATTCTGTTCTCCTGTAAAGGCCCAAGTTTAAAGGCATGTCAAGTCGGCCCACAAATCCACTTAACACTTGACCTAAAAAACTAATAGATTCACATGAAACTTTTTTTTATTTTTTTTTATTTTTTATTTTTTTTTAATGACCGAGGTTTCGAAGCTTCCATTTCCTTTAGATCCACTTCAAGCCGAACCCAAGACATGCTAGACCCGTCTAGTTCTCGAGGTCTATTGAATATCTTACAAACCTAATAGATTGGATAAGTCACAAATGTGATAGATGATCACTCCCTTAGTGATACGAACACAAGATTTTTAGGTCCATTTACAAGCTGAACCCAATTGTTACTTGTTGAAAGTTGAAACACAAAGATTCAAGCTTAAAATCTTCAACTTCAATACCATATTAAATTAACATTTAAAACTTAAACTATTGGATAATTAACATTTAAAACTTAAACTATTGGATAATGGTCTAACATTAATATTTAAATACAATAACTAATTTTTTAAATTCATATATAATTATATCAGTATTATCTCTTAAAAGTGTATTAATTATATTGGCCACTCTTATTTATCAAACTAGACACTTCAACCCCAAATACAATTTCTCTACTTCCGCATTTATCAATCCAAATCAATTGTTGTAAAACATTGCAGCAATCTCAAATGAAAAAACTAGCCACTCATCTAAAACTTCAAGATGTTTGCATCCAGGGACGTAGCCAGGATTCTTAGTGAGTAAGTTCAAAACATCAAAATTGATAAATTTACAATAAAATATATAATGAAATAATAAATATAAAAAATGTACTTTTAAAAGTTTTAAATATCAAATTATCAATTCTACAATTGTCATCAACGATTTTCATATTCTAAAAACATTGCATAATTGCTTCATTGACAATTCTTAGGGTTTCATCAATTCTAAATATCAAGTAATTAACCATTCAAGCAATTAACCAATATATCAAAAAATTAAATCAAATCTCTACAACTTAGGTTTCATCAATTTTGTAAAGCACTCAAAATTAACTAAAAATTATCAAACCCTACTTAAAACAATAACTAATTAACCCATACCTCAACATAAACAACATTAAATTAAAACCCACATCAAAATCTAGGAATTTAATCTTCCAATTTCAAACTTATTTATTAAACTCATAGTTCATGATCTTCATTAATTAAGAAAGTTAAAAGAAAAAAAAATTAAGTAAAAAAATGCTAATTAATAATTCATTTTTGTGAGGTCAACATGAATCCATCAAACATTGGGACTTTTTTGAATTTTTAAAAAAGTTGAGTGCTGTTTGCATATGATAAATTTTATTTATATATATGTATTATTTTCAAATATGATGGTTTACAAAACAAAACTTGGTTGAATGTAAGAGTGTTTGGTTGTGTTTAGAAAGGGCTGAATTTATTTGTTTGGAATGAGAATAATATGGTACGGCTGTATCAAATCAAAGATTCCGCTAGTCCAAACAAAAACAATGATATCTAGTCAAAGAATCAAATCTAAAGTCTGTTCTTTCACATGTGAACGGGAGAAGGTTTTCATATCATTCGTGATTTTGTCTCCGGTGATGAATAGGTCAAGAAATAGTATCACTACACCAAAAATAAAATAAATTAGTATTTAATATAATATATATGTGTTTGTAATGTATTTCATTTTCTGGACTTCCCACCAGGAAGAATTTTTCAGAATAATAATACAGCTAAAATTCATAATATTTTATTGGAAAATTGACTTATTAATCATTACTATAAAAAGATTAATGACAAATCTATGGAAATACCAACAATTTTATAAGCACAAAAAATGGTACTAGACCTCCATTGACAGTGCCAAAAGGTTATGGAGTTTATGTATGCGGAAAACTATGATAGCTAACATACATGGAGATAACCGATCAACATGACGATCAGTCAAAACTCTCTTCTTATTCCACACACACATTCATCAAGACTAATCCACCAATCACAGATATTTTCACAAAATCTAGCTAAGAACCATATAAGAACAGTAGAAACTTGAGTATTAGGTTTAAGCATGTCAGCTTGTAACCAGGCTAGGCTAGCATCTACAAAGCTGAAAATAAGTAGCTAGAACAAGTCTTCATTTAACAGTATCAAATTTGCTTTATTAAACATTGACCATTTCCCAGCTAAAACATAAGAAAATGAAAACGCAAAATACAAAATACAAAAGCCAAAAAAAAAAAATTAAATTAAATTAAATGGAAATTTATGCCTTTATATCAAAATGATGTATAGCCAATTGCACTCAGGAAGAATATTTAGGCTGGCAATTCTAGTACATGTAAAATTGTGCTTTGATCTGTCACATTGTGATTGCAAAACTAGAATCTCATTTGAACCAAGGAGGAATGAGGTATTCAAAATTGAAAAGAGACAAAAACTTGGAACCCCATATGAATACCTCAAAAGAATGACAAGATTCTCATAAAATTTATAAAACTAAACCATGTTCACTCCCAAGGAGACTTGACATAGTATTTTATATAATTAAAACCCTCTTGTGGGAGTGTGAGAAGTTGTATTTAAGGAAGCAAAGAGTGAAGTTGTGGTCCATAATATGTTCTCTCCTAAGTTGGGAGAGAAAGCAAACTGAGTTGGGGAGCTCCTTTCAGGCCAATAACGAGGGCTGAGAAGCGGCTAGAGCTGCCATCTCATGCACTGGGCTACGCTTAATATTTTTTCAACAGACGGGCAATAATAATAAGTGTTGAGTTTAGCCAGGTGCATGGTGTGGGAGCAACTCCTTCCGCTTACTTCGTCCGCATATTGGACTGAAGGGAGCTCCTGGACATAGCATTTGCATCAACTACATCCTTCTTTAAACAAAACTTAGTTACTTTTATTTAGCTCTGCTTGTTTCCTCTAATTTGTGCATCTCTCTTCATCATGTTCATGCATGTTCTAGTTTCAGTTTCAGAAACTTTCCAGTTTGCTTGATTTTTTTGTTATTATTGGTTGCACCATATGCTAATTTTATTTTATTTTAATTTACTTCTTTATATTTCAGGTGTTGGGTCCGGAGTTAGCTGGAGTGGAGTTCACAGAGCAACTTCTTTTGTCTCTCCTCTTCTCTTCACTTCCGTTTCTTTCTTTTTTTTTTTTTTTTTTTTTTTGGAATGTTTATTTTTTAATAGGCATACAGCTATCCAGTTGGAAGTGCCGTACTGTTGTAGTTGCTTTTTTAAAAATAAAAAATAAAAAAATTCGATGGAGCATCTTTGTTTGGAGTAGTCCATTTTATCGATCGATAATACTATAGATAAAATAATAATTAATAAGAAGAAGAAGAAGAAGAACGTAATGAAACTTTTTTCGTTGCCAAGGAAGTCAGCTTCGAAAGTTAAATCTCTTTCTTTAGGTTCTTCCATTACAGTCTCCATTTTTAAGAAACATAAGGATTATGTTTTTGTTTAATTGTGCTTTCTGGAGTGAAAGCACTATCTTTGAAGTTACGAAGATTGCTTTATGTTATGGCCAAGAACCAAAACAATATCTTTGTTTGTAGTAATCCATTTTATCGATTCATGATACTAAGATAAGCTTTTGCATAATGGACCAAACTACTAAAAACCATACCGATAAAAGATGCTTAAGGAACTGATCCATGGAAGAAATTTTCAATTTTTTCTTTCATCACTGCAAATGAAAACATCTGTAAGCAATATGCAAATTCCAGAATTGGACAAATAAAATGGATCACACGAAGTTTCCAAAACCTAACATCAGTGGTTTTGGACTCCAAACACTCCCCCTGTCCGAACAAGGCAGACACATCTAGATTTTTCCTACTTATAGAAATAAAATTTTCAAGAGACCAAAAAACCAAATGATCCACAACAATCTTGACAAATTACTGCAGCTTTTCCATCTTGATGCTGCTGAACTCTTCTCATCCAAGAAGGCTGACATATGATAATAACTAATCACAAGTTACATTATCATAAAATATAAAGTTTAGAAGTATACCGCCCATACAATATGGTGAAAGGATGTCAATATGTCCTTTTCCTTCGTCAAATCAACAACCGCGTAACCAATCAGGCCACAAATTTAGAATCAACTGATGGATTACTGAAGCAAGTATTGACAAGAAACTTATTAACATTATCTGATGTACTTTTCATTTCTTCACTGAGTCCAAAATGCAACCAAAAGTTAGATGCTAAGTAACACTAACAGTTGAGACACAAGCAGAAGCCAGTAGCATCTAGCCACCATACATATCATGAAAGGAAAGGAAAGAAAAGAAAAGGAAGAGAAAATGTTTTAATTAGGACAAACGATAAGAACAACTGGTATGTAAACTGGCCCAGTCTGCCCTCCACTTTAGGCATTCCTCCATTGGCCAAGTGCAATCACCTGCAAGAAGAATGCAAAACTTACATTTCCTCCCTCTATTACCTTTCAAAAACTAATAACTCAAATGCAGTATTATTATGTATCAAGGCCAAAAATCATAATAGAATATGCAAAAGGATTGATTGCAACAATTATTAAATGATATCCCAGCAATCAGAGGTAATACTATTTCAGGTATTACACAATACAATAATCACAAAATCGACATCACGATTTAATATTATCCATGGAATAGACAATGAATATTTTATACAGGAAAATCTTGGACAGGAAGCATGTCTACCGGAATCAATTTTATTCCATTAGATCTTTTAGATGACAAAAGATACCTAAAAGTTTTAAATACTGACCAACATGTCATTTCCAACCAACAAAATATGCACAATGATAAACATATATATCCTATGATCTCATCATTTGATTAATTAATTTGATTGAGGCCATGCTGTTCAATGGTGATATATCCATGCCAATCAGAAGATCTCATCCTTTGATTAATTAATGTGATAGAGACCATGCTATATATCCTTTTCAATGATGTTTTATAAATGCACCTCAATCGATCTCATCATTTGATTAATTAATTTAATTGACACCGACCCATACATGCTCCTAAATGGTGATTTATCCATGCCAATCAATCAAGATTGCTCTTAACACATAATTCCTCTGCATTTTGACTCAAAAAGAAAGTACATTCATTCACACCAAATTGAACCCGCCAAAAACCTAGATGACCATCAAATCCCTAGTTCATAATCAACTATCAAAGCTTCTTTTTTTATTGATGAATAAGTAGACTTATACAAAGACCTAAAATATTGGTGAAATATCAAGATGAATTATAAAAATCCAAATGACATTTTCTTGAGTTCATTTGAGCCTATAGATAGGACTTTGCTAAATCAATAATATTGATGCAAAGTCAGATGTATCTTTCTGGCTTGCCAAGGGAGGGTGCCCAAGCCCTTATAACCCACATGCCCACCCTTTTCCCTTCTAATGTGGGATCCTAACATTCCACCAAGCTTCCATAACCAACATCCACGTTGGCCTCTTTACCCTCGTTGGCCTCTTTACCCCTTGGGTGACTACGCGGATCTCCTTTCCTTCGACCCGCCATGCCTTTTCTCGAGGTAGCAGCCCGGGCCCAAGGTCAACCTGCCATGGGTCAGCCTGCCACATAGGCAACATTTATGTGGGTGTGGGATCATACTCTGATACCAATTGATAGGAACCCACTCCAATAACTTAACAATTGGGCTGGGCCATGAGTCTTTCATGGGCTTGGGTAGAACTTTCCTTGGAAAACCGGCTTGCCAAGGGAAGGTGCCCAAGCCCTTATAACAAGCTCCATTTCTTTATACACCGTTTCCACTCTAACAGTTTCTCTAGGATGTGCTTCTGTTATGAAGTGAATTTGCCATATTTTCGACAATCTTATCATATAGCAAATTTAATCAACTCTGAGCAAACCTCCGCACAGGAAGAAAAAATAACAGCTTAAACAGGTTGTTTTCCCCTTTTTTGTCACACAATGATAGTTAATATAAGCCAATCAGCCATTCTTCATTCAGAATTATGTGATGAATCAATAACAATCACAATGCAACAAAATGATACCATTATCGGCAATAATTTTTTTTAAAAAAGAAAAGAGTTATCATATCATTTCAATTTTCTTTTTGGTTCTTTGGGAGGTCAATTCATTTTTCCTGCTAAAAAGCATATGCATGGAGTAAAGAATTATTGAAATTCATAAAAGAAAACCAATATCAATGCTAGTCAATATTCCTATCATTGCTAAAAGCTGACAAGAAACAGCAAAATGAAAAAGGACTCTAATTTAGTAATATTCCACTCAATTCACCCTCCATCTCATAAGTCCCTAGCAAATTATAGCACGAATAAACTTCTATTTCAACACCATAATTATGGAATGCGAATTATCAGGATACCAAAAGATTTTAAGTTAAAGGATGTTGTTAGTTCTCCATTAGACCTTGGGTTTAATAGTCCACTGGTAGTATTTCAAGGGCCCAGGACTCCTTTCATGACACAATAACCCTTGCACGAATCTCTTTCCAAAATCAGTTAAACCTCAAAAATAACGTACAAACTGATCTGAAGTTTTTTTAGGGGTTCAACAATCTCATCACCATATCAGTTGAGTTTAATTGCTGCTCAGAAATTTAGAACCATTGATTTTCAGGCAACATTAATAGAATACAACTTACGGCTGCCACAGCATTCTCAGTTGTACAGACACATAATAAACCAACTTGAATTTCAAAATATTAAGCAGCAATCATCACTCGATTAGCATATCGGTCAAAATGGTGGAGTTAAACTTCAACTACAATTATATCCAACTGATCTTATAGCGAAAAATAAAACATAGGTGCTCTCATGCCAGAATTGCATGTAACCAAAAAGTTTTCAAATAAGAAGTTTGAAAGTAACGAAAACTGGTCTCAATACCTAACAACAAACTTAACTACTTACACAAGGTTAATAATTAAGTTTCCACTTAGTCTAATGTAACAATCCAATAAAACCAAATTTCCACACTTTTTAAACATGCTAACTTCGACTTAATATGACAAAGATGGCTTAACTATCTTAGTTGCAATCCATCCTTGAATAGCAATCTTTTGGCCATCTCCACTGGAACAATACTTATAAACTACCAGTACTCCCTTCCACAGAAGCAACCTCAGCACACTTAAACAAAAAGTAACTGTACAGAAGACCTACTATAAGACGTAAACCACATTTGGAAACAGTATAAACATATGCTAGCCACAAAATCATTGCCTAGAAGTCATTTATTGAGAATTAAAAAGACACCGTTATACCTAAAAACCAACTAAAATAAAACTCCAAATCCCTAAGTATAATAGTCAGAAGCTAGTAGTGATTTATTCTTCAAAATCGCATTCAATAAAGGCATTACACATAAAATTTATATCTTCCTGTAGAGCTTTATGAAATGCTACAAGCTATAATGCTACATTACCGTTGCCGGGACAACATTTTTATTACAGCTTAAAATATTAATATTTTACCACCAAAATAACCTACCAGTAGCGTTACAGTCAAAAACTTGAAGTAAACAGAAAGAACACGCACCTTATTAATTAATCCAAGGTAAAAATTTAAAAAACATCTCATTCTTCAGACTCGGCCGACTCCACCTTTGGACCTAACCGAAACACGGACAAATAAAATAAATTTGTATGCGCTCAAACAAACTATCAGTCAAGAAGTAAAAGAATGGAGAAATTGGAAGTAACCGTGGAGAGAAGGATGGCGGCCGTCCTTGCCCCAGCCGATGCCGCGAGTGGAGTCGAGGTACTGTTGGACGAGGTGGCGACATTTTTGGAGATGGTTTACTCCTTCGATGCGATAACACCATCTCAGCTTGTCTCTCAAGATCTTCGCCTTCTCGATTTGGATCCACTTCTCTCTCACCACGTGCTCCCTCATCTCCAGCATCGCCACCGGGTCCTTGTACGGATTCGATGGATCGAAGTCATCCGGCGCTGTTTCATCGAACTCAACTGTTCCCTTCTTCCGCCCCATTCCGATGGTCTTGGCCTTTACTCTTTTCAGTCTCCTTGTTTTTTATGTGGTGTGCTTTTGTTTTGGGTTTTGTTTGATATTATCTGGGCCGGGTCATTTTTGTGGACTTTAGCTAAGATGTGTCTTGGGCCTAACAAAAGTATCAAATAGTTTTTGAAATATCAAGGCCTCCTTTGGTTGGTTTTTGGGAATACTACTTTTAGTATTCCCAAAAAAGTTAAATAGTAAACTACCAAAAAACTCATAATATTATTCAACTTTTTTCAAACCTCCTAAATTTGTTAATTTAATTAAATACCCTTAAATATTTTTTTAAAAATTACAAAAATACCCCAACAATCCACATTTACCAGCAACAACGACCGCTTGTTGGCCATTGTTGACAAGCAAATACGGCCAGATCTAGCCGTCAATGGCCAGATCTAGCCGTAGATCTGGCCTTTGCTGGCCAGATCCACCGTGGATCTGGTCGGAAAAGGCCATATTGGAGCACGACCTGCAAAATCCAGCCGGTCATGTGCTGATATGACGATTTCAGCCACCCTCCGGCGGTGGTGGCCGGTTATCCGTATTTGAGGGTGGGTTAGGGGTGTTTTTGTTAACTTTTAATGTTTTATTATAGGGAGTGTTTTGTAAAAAAATAAACATAGAGGGTATTTTATAATTTATAAATCCTACATCATAATACCCACCAAATTCAACTTTTTTTTTTTACTTTTTTCAATAAAAAATTTCCAAAAACACAAAATTATGAACTAAACGGAGCCCAAATTATTGCAATTAAATTTTTAAAAATATTTATTCGTAAATAATTCATCTTTGCCAATTTAATATTGTTAAAGTAAAATTAAGAATAATTTATCTTAATATATTTGGACACTATTAAATTGATAAATTGAAAATAGCAAAACTACAATTATCGATTCTACAGATTGACTCTCCATCCCAATTGACATAAAATGCAATATGGTCGGCATGGAGACTCCTCATGTCGCACTCCACGGTTCGTTGAGATGGGAGACAGTAGTATTTTCCAGTTGAAAAAGATGAAGTCCTCACAATAATACCACGATGAGAATCCAATAAATTTCAAAACCCTTGGAATTTTCTTCAATCAAAATGAAAGACTATTTCCAAAGCAATAAGAGAATTAGAGATTAGACTAAAATACGTTATATTAAAAATGTTGTATATTATAAGCTTATGTCTCTATATTTGAATTTTAAACGAGGTTAGTTTAGCTCGTTTGTTACATTTTGGGAATACCCAATAAAATTAAACAGTAAAATTAACTTATTCTCAAAATATTATTTAATTTCTTTTAACTCCTTAAATTTATTAATTTAACTAAACACCTCTAATTTTTTTTAATAAAAATTATAAAAACATCTCAGCAACCCTCAAGTGGTGGCTGACGTATTTAATTGGTGAATTGAGAGTGTTTTTGTTAACTTTTACTATTTTATTGGTGTTTCGTAAATAAACAAACTGTTAATTTTCTAATTCTATATTGTAATACCCGTCCAATTTAACTTTTTCAAAATATTAAAAATGTTGTATATTATAAGCTTATGTCTCTATATTTGAATTTTAAACGAGGTTGGTTTGATATATTAATATTATATTATAAAGTGGCTAATTATAATTATAAGCATTAAATTAATATTATTATCCTTTGTATCGTTTAATCACTGTTGGCATTTTTTAGTAATACTATATGTATCTATAAAATTTATACTGTATCTCTTTTTTTCTTTTTTTACCAAAGTCGATTTCACTAATTTAGGTTTTGTCACACGGATGGATGGTATATAACGCTGTTATTACTCACTTTCAATTATTTTATTTAAATGATATTGTACCTATAATTCTATACTTATATGTAACAAAATTATCATGAAATATACTTTAATAATTATAAATTAGATAAGAAAAACAAATCAAGAATGCTATATGTATAATTTTTCTATAGCCTCTTTGTATACAGCCTATAATAACCACATTTGATCAAAAACAAAATTAATTCTGATCACTACAATGATAATTTTTCTTAATTTAAGACGTCAAAACTATTTCTAGTTTTCTACCATGGACTTGGCCACACCAGATTATGAATGACCAATAGCCGCGCGCGTGCCTGGCCACATAACGGGACCCACTTTTATAAACACAAAGTCAAGTCCAGCTCCACGTCACTTCCGTCGGCTCCATCAGCCTTAACTAGCTTAGCCTCCACCGTCTCAACTGACACGCTGTCACCTTCTCTGTTATCACTACCGTTACTAGGATGCTGACTCATCTCCGATTCATGACTCTTTGAGTCATCAAACTCACCCAAAAAGCCCTCTGGTAACTTTTTCGGATTCGGCTTAGGACCCGACCGCTTACACCGGCTCCGAGACTTAACTTTATGAAGCTTATCGGAGGAGTTCTTATAATCCTTGGAGACGTGGCGAATATCACAAGCTTGAAAAGCCGACTCAGAGTCGGAAGAAATAGAAGTGATCGGCTCGCCCTTAAGAACGGCTTCAACAGCGGCTTGACAGAGCTGCCAGCTCCCGGAACAGATCAAACCGAGGGATCCATGAATCGGGTTTACAATTCGCCCGCACGCCTCGAATAACAAAGATTTAAAAATTGCTGTAACAAACACAATTAACAGTTAAAATCAATACACACCAAAAATAAAATAAAATAAAATAAACGGACTCTTTCAAAGAAGAGAAATGAGTTAATACCAGGACGGAGATGCGGAGGACCGGCGTCGATGAGGTTGACAAGGCCGGCGCGGCCGTAGAATTTGGCGAGAAAGAGGGTGGCATTGGCTTGGGACTGGGGGTTTCGGATCCATTGGAGGCAAGGTCGGATGGTGCAGTCGTCGGAGCAGCCTTTGCGGAGGACGCGGCAGCCATTGCAGCTGATACGCATGGTTAGTGTGTGGTCTGATGTTGTTTGGGAAGGGGGGAAATGGTGGGAAAATTGGAGAGAAAATGAAGGGAAGAGTAAGGAGAAATATGATGAGAGAAAATGATGGGGAAATGGGTTAATTTATTAAAGTGGTGAAGTGAGATGGTGGGGACTTGGATTTGGAGAAAGTGGGGCGCAGTGGTTTCCAAGAAAACTGGGTGTGTAGTATGGTGGGTGGGGCAATCTGGTTTTATTCATTTGTCATTGTACTTGACCACGTTCTTTTAAGTTCTATGAAATTCCACCGGTAGCCTTCAAACAAAAACTCGAGGTTGTAAGGGATAAATAATTATTCCCACCCGAAGTTTGGAGACATCACAAGTTGGTACCTCTGATTCCATTTATTCGAGATTCCTACCCTTAAAGTGAAATTGTTAACATTTTTTAGGTTAAAAAGGGTGTTGTTACCATAATACTCTTAACAAATAAATTAATAAATTACTTATTAACACCTAAATTAGTAAGATTATAAAATTAACCATCTTATTTTTAAATTACTTCAATAACACCCTCGGTAATTGTGCACCCTATCGGTTTTTGCTCGATCTGGGATGTTTCTGACGCTATTGAACCCGCTGTTCACCTCCATCACCTTCCCCATAGGCCGTTGCCCAAAACCCCTCTGGTTCTTGACTCATTGGCCCTTTTGATCGCTAATGTCGTTAGGTTTAGGGTTTCACTGTTTTTCGCTAAATTTCGATGGCAACAATCCAATTCGACACCACCACTGTAACCAGCATCTCCAGCTCTACAAACCCCTTGTGTCCCTAACAACCGTATAGTTGTCGGTCGAGAGGTTCGTGTTCATCGCGTTTTTTGGAGCTGTCGTGGCCGAAAAACGGTGAGTTGTTGTGGCCGAGAAGGTTTGTGGTTTTGTAGGGGGGATACAAAGAGGCAAATGGTGGTGGTGGTTGCAGTTGCGATTGTCATCGCTCAAAACAACCGAAAACTGGCAAAAAACAGTCACACAATACGATTGTTGTGGCCGACGATTGACGAGTGATAAGGGGTTGTGAACGGTAAGGTTTTGTTGAGGGACTATGGGGGTTCAAATGGTGGTGATAAGGGTGATTTTGGTTGGAAGAATCGCCGAAAAGGGCAAAAAAGGTAGAGGCCAACGTCTGCTAATGTGCGCCTGACCGCCAGAGCACTATTAGAAGCAGTGATCTGCTAACATGCGTCACCTCCTGTAAAATGACCAATTTACCCCTTTGCCGTTATATTAAATAATTTTTCATCACTTTAAGGGTGAAAATTTGGAATAAATGTAATCAGAGGTACCAACTTGACATTTTGTCAAACCTTGGGTGGGAGTTTGTCCTTTACTCTTTTTTAAGTACAAAAGGATATTGATTTATTGTGTCATAAAGCCCTTAAAAGGGCATGTATTAGAAAGGATTTTTTCTCAAATTTTATGAAAATATTAATAAATTGTATCAAAATAGTCTTCAAAAGTCATATAAAAATCATTTATTACTTCCCTAAAATAAAAATAAAAAATGAAATAATTCAAGTAGAAAAACAATTTTACAAATTACTTTTAATTTTAATTTTTATGTTAAGAACCCATACGTTAATTCTTAGATCATCTCCAATGATGCTCTTTATTTTAAAAAGCATCTTCATCGATATTTAAATATAAATAACAAAATTTTTATTCAAATTTTTAAATTTTAGGAGAGAGGATATGTTTTTTAAAGAAAAAGAAACTTATTATAAGAGATAAATCATAAATAAAATGCATTAAAACTTACAATTTATTATTTAAAATTAGGATATAGTGAAATTGACTTTATAAATATAGAGAGTCAAACTCATACTTTAATTTATATTTAAATAATAAAAAGTTTGTTGAACTTTTGTTTTTATAGATAAACTCTTTATAATAAAGAGTTTGAGTCATATAAAGAGTTATTTGGAGATGTTCTTAGAGAACATATATTTACATTAATAAATTAATTATAATGTAATATTAAATCCACATCATTTTAGAAATTTAAATGTGTAATTATACATAAATTGATATTTAGTATTTATACATTGGGATAAATTTATAGTCATATTTTTTATTTAACTTTTAACGTTATGTTTGAGTTATTTGATTAATTTAAATCTAATATATTCCTAAAATGTATTAATTATGTGAATGTAATTGAATAATGTCTATTTAAAATACTTCGTGAAATTACCTTAGCGTGGGCAAAATGGTAATTAACATTCGAATATAAGGTATCATTAAAAGAACAAGAGATGCAAGTTGGTACAAAAGGCAATAAACAGCTAGCCAGCAACACGTGTTGTGACTTTTTATTCCGACGAGTCGCCACATCGTACGCACAACTCCATTTACATTCCCACACGCACGTCCCAACTACGCTTCAGATTATCACAAATCGACGGCCAGTAATCCCTATGCGTCCACATGGGACCCAGGAAAGAGATATAATTGTTCCGTGAAGCAAAAGGCGCGTGGATAAAAGAGGACGTGTTCAAATTTGGCTTGTGAGAAACGTCTACCACGTCCATGTTACGAACCAGCCGCTGGGTTGCCTCCTGGTATTGTGGAATGTGGAATCCGTACACCGGTTTTGAGAAGAGGACTGTGGGCGCCCTTTGATCTCATCCCCGTCAGCCTCTGGTTTTGGATTCCCTTTCGTTTTTCAACCTTCTTCTCACTTCAATGCTTATCCCGATTTGTCTGGAATCAAACAAGTATCTTCCTTTGACTTTGACTTTCATTTTTTTATCTTTATTACGGTGCCGGTGCTCTATTGACTATTCTCAATTGAAATTTGTATGTGGACTAATTGGTGCTGGTTTTGCTACGAGTATAACACATCGTTTAGCACGAAAAAATATAATTAGAATCAAAATTCACCAAAAATATATAAATTTCACTATACACTATTGTTGATACACTATCGTTGATATGTGATTTTGACATCAACAGAATTAGCACATACAAATTATTATGAATCTACACATGAGGTGATTATGTAAGTATTTGTGATACAATAGTATATATGTTTAAAAAGACATAAATAAAAAAATGATAAAGGAGATTTATATAGTGGTTTGAATGTTGTAAGTAAGTCTTACATCTATTGCCATTTTATTATTTTTTGATTGTTTTTCTGATATCATCTGTAAAGCGTACAAAGATGAAATAATATTTTGTTTACAGAGAAAAATAATGGCTTAAACTCAAATGTATGCCTAGCCTCTCTATGCATTCATTCTCATTCTCTTTTATAGGATGTTATTTAGCCGACTTCAAGGTGATGGTTACTTGACAGACTGCTCTTAATCTTGTTGTAGCACATGGAGAGTATCAACAATCTAAATTTTAACTTTGATAGCTAAGTTAAGATGGATGTTAATTATCAAAGTGAGTTGATGACAACTTATATTTCTCTAGCTCTTGCTACTGTTGGATCTTAAAAGGTGACCGATGCCTTTCTATGATTGATGACTGATTTTGGCACAACAACTATAAACTACGTTAATCTTATAAAACATAAGACATATAAAATATATAATATATATACACATAAAATTATATGGCTAGATATATCATTTATTCGCTCACTTCTCCCCTGGTGGTTTTGATGCTATTCGACTAAAAATTAGTTAATAGTCAGGATGCAACCGTATCTATATATTGCATTACGGACTAAATTCAACAATTGCAAAAGGAAATTAAAACTAACCACCTCTGGGTGATCGGATGGAGCAATAGAAATTCTTTGGTGTATTATTCTAAGAAGTTTTAAGTTTAATTCTTCTGAATTACTAATAAAGGTGACCACTTGAGGGTTTACTCAATCGTTAACTTCAGAGCCCCGAAGAATTAATCGAAGTGTGCGCAAACTGGCATGAACACCCCAGGTTGCCCAACAAAAAAAACTGAAACACCTTTTTTTTTTTTTTTTTCTTCCAAATGCTTTTTGAACAGAAAACAATATACTGTTTAATTATAGTATGGAAACAACCTTGATGAGAAAAAGGTTCCAACAAAAACAAGACCAATTCAAATGAATGTTAAATTAGAAGAACATTGTATAAATGCAAAAAAAATTAAAAAAAATCTTCTTAAAAAAACTTACACACACACACACGTATACATTTATTATTTATTAATCAAAGCAATAAAAGTCCAAAAAATATCCAGCACATAATGCGATTATTCTAACACATTGCTGGGCCTGGTCCTGGGCCAGATAGAGATTTAGAAATGAAGACCACTTTCCACGATTCACCGACCACACAAGGTCACGGTTAAAGTAAAACAGAAGAATTGAAGGACCGTCATGGTCGGGGTATGGAAACGTGTCAAACACCCAATTGGTTGAACTCCCACATTCAAGGTCTTTCTGAGTAGTTAGCAAGACCAACGGCAGCAGCAACGTACAATAGCTGTAAGTCTCCTTCCCTTGGACTTTCTTTATACCAGTTTTTTGGATCTCATTTCAATGTTTTTTTAATTCACATTCATATCCATTTCCTCAACCAATCTGCATTTCACCATTTTTAATTGTAGAAATCATTTTCTGGGTATGATTTTTCTTTGAAATTCCGTTGGTTTAAATGTATTTTTATTGTTTAAAATTTTGCAGGTTTCAATGTGTTAAACGTAATTTTAAGTCTTCTGTTTGCTGACTTTTGTGTTTATGCATATTTCTGCTTTGGGAAATTCTGTTATTAATGTGCTATATGATTTGCATTTCAGGTTCTGTTCATGGTTGGTCCCCGAGTTGTATCGAAACCATTGTGATAACTTCTGCTATCTGCATGCAAGGTGTGAAGATTTTTTTTGTTATTCAATATGACCAATTACATTTACATATAGTCATGCAGAAATTGTTATGTTTATCTGGTTTTTTGAGTATGCATTTCTCTTCGTCTTGATTCGAATTAGATAAAAATTGTTTGAATTAAACACATTGAAAAGGAGGCACTCTGGAAGCATAATTGTGAAGTTAACACAACAGTTGAAACAAAAATTCTAGACAAGGGATGGTAATTGGCAGGAATAATTTCAAATGGAGCATGTTCTGCTGTTTTTCAAGTTGGGATGCCGGTTCGACTAAAGTTTGTTAACGGGGTAGGAAATAAATTGTTGTTTTACCTTTTATCAATACGGACAAGCTTAATTGTAACATCGAGAGCTTTTCTTTCATTTTGCACTATGTTTATTCATTTACTCGGAGACTTGTGTTTTCTGGAGCTGAATGCTGGTAATTTTTTAGCCAAACTGTTTAATTCTAAACAATAAAAGATAGAAATTGAGTAAAGTTAGGGGTACTGACCTCGAAAAACACTTTCCCATGTCGAAAAGTGGCATGCTTGAACTTTATTTTGTAGAAGCAGTGGTCTTTAGTAACTAAGTAATTAAACTGTCAATGGCTTTATACACTCTTGCTTGTTAGTTGTTACTATTCAAGTCTTGAGTTGGCAATTAATTTTAGCAGTATATGTATCAATGCGGTTTTATTATAATCATTTCACATTTATCCAGAATCCTGCGATGTCCTTCTTTAATGATTTATTCCGGTTCTACTCAGTTCATGAGAATAGAAGTCATCTTGTGATAATGCTAATACTCATATTCAGGCAATTTTAGAACTAGTTACTTAATACGGACTATTTTATTTGTAAAGTTTTTATAATTGAGTTTCAAGTCTTGATGCCCATCTCTTGTGGATCATAATGAGTTCGGTATCCGCTCTCCGCACAAGAGAAAACAGAGAGCACAATGGATCCAGTTTAGCCGATAACGGGGAGGTTTCTGATACAAAAGCGAACGCTAGTCCTGAGGCTGAAGGTAAGGATGATTTTATTGCTGCTTGGTTTGAGCACTCATAACACTGAGTTTTTCTTTTTTCCCTTTGTAGCCAACCAACGTGCACTATTGGTGGAGTGGTTAAATAGTATTCTTCCACATTTAAATTTGCCAATAAAAGCTTCAGATGAAGAGCTGAAAGCATGTTTGATTGATGGCACTCTTCTACCTCAAATTTTGAAGAGGCTTAGACTAGTTTCATATAAGGAGGTTGTTGAAATCTAGTATCTTTCTGTTGCCAAATTATACTCTAAGTTGGTGATTAGATGGTTACTTTGTTGATTAAATGTTCGGTATTCTATTCTAGGTAGGCGATTTCAATCATTCTTCAGTTTCAAGCTAAGAAAATGTTAGAAGATTTCTGGAAACTCTGGATAAATTAGGAATTTCTGGATTTGCAATGTCAGACCTAGAGGAGGTATTGTTTCTTCATTTGAAAATTTTAATATCATCACCTAATAATATGCTGACATAAAAATGTTATTCTTGAAATTTTGAACATATCCTGAACCATATGATTGGATAAATTTGACTGGACATGAACAATCAGGCTTGTAAATCTGCTTGTCCTTGCATCCAATTATTCATATGCTTTTCTATGTATATGTTTCTGTGTATATATATTCTTCTATCGAACTATTTTATTTGTTGGGCTTGTGTTGGTTTCTGCACTGTGGAGATTTTCAATTTGTTCTTTTTCTCTACTTCCTAAAGTTCAGCTCTAAATCTTGCAGGGTTGTATGAAGCCTGTTATAGGCTGTCTTTCAAAACTTAGAGCAGAATTTTCCCCTACCAAAGAGAATTTTTCGGTCAATAGTACAATAACAAAATCTGGAAACAATGAAAAGGATGCGTCTTCTGGCGGCCCTCTTTCTCCAGTCTTTGGAGAAGAAAGGCGAAAAATTTTGTCAGAGTCCCAATTTCAAGGTGCTTCACGCAGTTCAGCAATATCAGGTAATGCAATTTCTTTGTGGATTGTTTGTGCACATGCATGCCTGTGGTTGTGTCTGCATGTTTGAATCTGGATGTGGTTTATTATCTACAATGTATTGATTTTATAATATGGCTAAAATACTGATACTACTACTTGTTCGGTTCAGTGGGCTGAGCTTAAAAGAGTTTCTGGCCATTTAAATAGCTTATATATGTGGCACACTTTTCCTCCTTTTACAGAGCAATCAGCTGCTTTATTACATCACGTTGGACATAAGTTCCATGAAGTTTAACTGAAACAAGGCGATACTCGGATCTTCCTGCTGCGAAGATTTCAGATATGATGAAATCAAATACTTTAGACGTGAGTCTTCAGTCTTATTATGTCGACAGACATTCATTCTATGTCATCCTCTTAAATTTCTATTGGTGATTAATGCTTTTTTAATGCCTTCCAGCTTCTCTTGTTGCAGAATGCTCCAACAAAGGGTACAGTAGAATATATGACCAAGTTTCAGGATTTAAAAATCATGGATTTAATTTTTTATACAGACTCTCTAGCATAAAGTGATAGATGATTGTGAGACTTTAAAATAAAAATAAATTAAATAATTAAAAAAAAGATTATATGATAAATATATAAAATTGTAACATCAGTTTGCATATATAACATTACTAAAAAGTTATTCATAGAGGACCAAACATATGCTTTTTCAAATAAAAAATTACAATGAGATTTTAATGGTGTGAAAGAGGCCAATGTATACGTGTCATACTTTCATTGCTAATTTCTGGCCAGCACACGAAGCACTCTCTCCACCGTCAACTTCATGATGAGTCAAAGAACGGAAATGAATCTGGTTTGACTTACCAGAGAAGAGTGTAAAACTCATACATATATATTCAGAAATGTTACAGAGATAAGTGTGTTGGTTTCAAGGGATAATATTTACAGGTTTCAAGGGATAAGATTTACAAGAGATTTAAAATATAAACAGAGGATTATGCCAACGCAATGTCTTTAACATCAAGCCGCAACGTCCTCAACATTTGAACGTCAAGTCACCATCTCTTTAGTTTGAATATTGTGGTCCTTATTCTTATCAATGAGAACTTTTGATTGTTATGTTAAAAAATTTCACTTGCCTTGGCTTCTTCTATAATATTATTGCTCAGTTTTTCTTCTGTGATGTGCATAAGTTATTATTATCATCTCTATTGAAAAAAAAAAAAATGTTTGTACAGTATTTTTTATTCTTGATTTTGATAATTTAATGTAACTTAAATTTAATCAACACTAATCAAAATTCAAAAGAGAGTCCAAAATTTAAATGCATCCTCTTAAATTTCTATTGGTGATTAATGCTTTTTTAATGCATTCGAGCATCTCTTGTTGCAGAATGCTCCAACTCAGTCACTTTGAAGTGTTGTGAACGGGATTCTGGATGAAAGCATTGAAAGTAACAAATAGTTTAAAATTAAATTAAAACAACATAATCAAAATGAAACCAACAACTTATATTTCTATTTAATTCAAGTCAAGACTGACTTTAAATAATAGATTTAGAGATAAAATTACTTATATCACGATCATCTTTGTCATTGTCTTCGTCAGCATAATCAATATCTACAAAAAATTGCAAGCAAAAATAAAGTTATTAGTTAAATGTTTTGATTGTAAACTAAATTGAGTAATATAATATAAAATCCACCTCATTTTAGAAATTTAAATGTATGATTATACATAAATTGATATAAAAATACATTCACATATTTAGTATTTATATATTGGGGTAACTTTAATAGTCATATTTTTTATTTAACTTTTAACGTTATGTTTGAGTTATTTGATTAATTTAAATATAATATATTCCTAAAATGTATTAATTATGTGAATGGAATTGAATAATGTCTATTTAAAATACTTCGTGGAATTACCATAGCGTGGGCAAAATGGTAATTAATGTTCGAATATAAGGTATCATCAACAGAACAAGAGGATGCACGTTGGTACGAAAGGCAATAAACCGCTAGTCAGCAACACGTGTTGTGACTTATCATTCAGACGAGTCAGCACATCGTACGCACAACCCCATTTACATTCCCACACGCACCTCCCAACTACGGTTCAGATCATCGCAGATCGACGGCTAGTAATCTCTATGCGTTCACATGGGACCCAGGAAAGAGATATAAATGTTCCGTGAAGTAAAAAGCACAGTGATAAAAGAGGACGTGTTTAAATTTGGCTTGTGAGAAACGTGTATCACGTCCAGGTTTCGAACCAGCCACTGGGTTGCCTCCTGCTATTGTGGAATGTGAAATCCGTACACCGGTTTTGAGAAAGAATAATATATATATATATATATATATATATATATTAGTTTCTCATTTTACCCTTGCACTTTCTAAAAATTCCATCTATGTCCCTTGGTCAATTACCAAAATACCCTCATTTTTATTAACTTCTCCATGTTATTCTACTTCTTTTCACTGCCCACTTTTTCAACTAATTATGAGTGAAAATACTATGTT